CTCGTCAACGGCTCCGCGATAGTCCCGCATACGTCGACGACCACCTGGTCGACCTGCCCCGTCGAAGTAGGCCGTTGGCTCCCCGTCGACGGCATCGTCGCAGCGGACCCCTGCAGCTCGATGAAACCCGTCGAGTAGCTCGCCCAGGCTGGCGTCGACCACTACGTACGATCGGCTGCTTCTCCCGTGCACCTGACCAGGACGTCGGCGTCGCCCAAGCGAGGGCGGGGCCAACACTCCATTCCCGTTAACACCCTTTTGGTGGAATTGACTGATATGGGGGAACCACATGTAATGCTTCTGTCGCTGGTGGGGGGAAGAGCTGATCTTATTGAGTGCACCAATGAAACAGGTACACATTCATCCCAAACTCAGACTCCCAACTCCTTCTCCCAGTCCCTAGTCCCAATCACCACTCAGAATCCCCAACAAATTTCCCACCTCTCTATCGTTTTCTCATCTCCCCTTATATTTTCTCGTCTTCCATCTTCTTCCTCCTATCCTCTTCTTCCTGTTCCCTTCTTCCCCTCTTCCCCCGCCCCCACAACACCCTTCCCCCCCCCCCCCCCCCCCCCCCCCCCCCTCCCAAATTCCCTATGCTAGGCCGCATTCAGTGCATGAAAATCCCATGCATCACACTCAGTGGAAAAAATTATCCACACACCCAGCCTCCAAATCAAACCTTGCCAGCCTAATTATGAACATTGTTCCCCTTCTTTCCTCTTCTCCCACTTCGCCCTCCCTCTTCTCCTCTCCCCCCCACCCCCCTCCCCCCTTCCTCTTCACTCACACCAGGTCGCACAACATATAGAAGGCCCAAGCCTCAAAATCACCTCTTTCATCATCCGCGTACCCAACTCTTAACGAGCGAATGGAATCTGTAAAATGAGAGCGGACAGGGGAGAAAATGCAATCATGTACCCTCTATAGGGCTCCTCAACCTAACTTGCAATAATAGACATACAAATATAGATATCTACGTTGACACACCCCCTAACAAGGGTAAGGGGGTAGTGCCTAACAAGTGAGACACAAATCAGGGCAGCGCCACTAGTCAAACCACTAAAGCAAGAGGCAACAAGGTCAATTAGCAAGAAGAACAAAGTCTATGAGGTACAACTCTATGCAGGTGCAATAACCTAGCATTTAAGACAAAAGGGCCGCAATGCTAGTAAAAGAGTATAAATAAACAGAAAACAAGATATCAAGATCATAACAAGTGAGGACATGTTGTGACAAGGCCAAGCTGTATACAGAACCGCTGGTGGTCACGAGGCAGAAGCACCTTAGTGAAGATATCAGCGGTGTTGGCCTTTGAGGCCAAGCGTACTACGCGTGCCTGGTCACGGCGCTGTAACTCATGTAGTAGGAAGTATCGGAGCTGGATGTGCTTTGCTCTGCCATCTAGTATTGGCTCCTTACGCAGGAGGATCATAACCCTGTTATCAGCGAACAAGACCAGGTCAGATCCACTTAGCAACCGACCAGTGCTCAGGTCGATGTGTCCCGTTCGCAACAAAGCGAGCAAGAAAATTGAGAGAATATGCGAGGTTTGGGCGAATACAAGTCATCAGGTTCATGAGGCACCCCACCATCTCTGCATACTGACCACTGGGCTCAACCGTGCTTGTTAAAGATAGGGGCCGAGAGCGTATGGCCAACATGCAGAGGAGTTGACTGGGCAGAGGATCAGTGAAGGCCGAAGCGCTGGAGGATCTGCTGCACCATGTGTGACTAAGTCAGGGTGATGGTGCGCGTTGCTCAATCCCTAGGTATCTGCAGGCCAAGATAGACAATAGCCCACCTAGGTCAGTGTAAGCGTTTTTCTTAAGCAGCTACCGAGGCTAGTGCGACCATATATGGAGTATCAAAGACCAAGTCGTCGGCGTAGAAATGAGTCAAGCCAGAGCGAACGAAAAGAGACGGGCCAGCAGAGGACAAGAAGCTCACGAGGCGCCTGACGCAGGCCATAGACAGGCCGCGGAAAGCTCCACCAGGTCCCAGGAGGGAACGACCCAGTGAAGCCAGGTGGACGGTGGAGGAAGATCTGCTCGTACAAGTTTCTCTGGAGTGAGTGAAGCACTAGTCGCGATGTGCGGCAATATGCATCAGTACCCCAAGAGTAGTAATTTTTGGGGTGGGGAAGAAGGTTCAACAGAATTCCACTCCCTCTCGCTAGCTGAAGCCTCTAGCAACGTAGGTGTCTGTGAATCTCCAATATGCCATCTGTATGTTCATGGCTGCTATCCGCTGATAGGCCCAGGATTACGAGACTGCCTCAGCGTAGGTGCGAGGGGTCGAGATGTTAAGAGCATTTGAATCACCCTCAGGACCAAGCAGCAGGGCACAGAGATGAAGAGCAGTGGCGGCAAGGAAAGTTAGATCGCATTGCCTGTCCTCTAGGGCGTCATTGCCAAGGGCATGAACACCCCCGACGGACGGAGGATGGAGAGGAGCAGAGACCAACTAAGTGGCGTAGTCAATGGCTGGGTGGAGGCAAATTTAGAGACAGCAGCGACAAGATCAGAGACAGACTGAGAAAGAACCCTAAACTTTGTGATAAGGGAGGAAAGGACACGTGAGACCGTAGGAAGAGCAGTACGGAGGAAGTTAGAAAACAAAGGAGACGAAACAACAAGGGACTACAGAGGAGGCGGGGGGGTCCATGAGGCGGCGGAAGACGAGGGGGACGAGAACGGAGGAGCATAGAGAGGATATTGGAAAGGGGGGATATGGGTCAAGAACGAGAGGGAAGATGGACACAGGTGTGGGAGGCCGAAAACTGGCCAGGAGACAAAGGAGGAGGCAGTTTCGAACGAGGACGAAGGCTGCTGCAGGAGACAAGTCCGGATGAAGAAGCATAGGACCGTAGACTGGAAGAGATGGTGAGGGGGGAGCAGGTGGTCGGCCAGACGAAAGGGTAAGACATGCCAAGAAGCTCAAGTGTAGATACAGGTGGTGATGATGGCTGCTGCAATCGCTACGGCGGCTGCTGCTGCGACGGCTGCCCCAAAACATGTACCTCCTATGGAAGCACCAATGGAACCACCACCCCCAGAGTCCTTACAGACTAGTTTTGCGGCGGAGACGGCTGCTTGCACGACTGCGAGGACGACGTCGGTGACTGCAGAGACTGAAGCAGCGACTGCGACGAAGGGGCCGTCACATGAGGCGCACCTCCATGCCCCACCGCTGCTGCCCCGCTCCTCCGTCAGCCCGCTACCGCGCCGCCCAGTCGGCCCCGCTGCTGTAAGCCTGCCGCACCTGGCACGCTCGAGGTGTCGCTGCCCGCTCCTACTGCGCCCGCGCCTCCGCCTGCCGCCCGCGCCTCCTAGCTGCGTCGCCAGTGCCTACCGTCGTCGCGTTTGCTGCGCCTACTTCGCGCCCCCCCGCACCCTGCGATACATGCTATGCGCAGACTGCACGCCCTGTCGCGCCCTGGTGTGCGTCGCTGATACCATGTTAACGAAGGAATGGAATGAGTAGAATCTGAACATACTCGAGGGTATATGTAATAATATATCCTCAAAAGGCCACCTCAACCTAGCCTACACATTTGCACATGTTTGCGACGATTGTTGAAATTTTGTGAAAGACTCGATCAGTGTTTCTTGCGCCTGAACAAAAATTACGGAACAACACTTCCAACTTCCCAAAGTGAGTACGAGATTTCAAGTGGACCCAACTAGAAGGGGGGGGGTCACTATTTTAGCTGCTGGCTTTAACCTTTGCCTCTATCATTTATGCAATCATTTCCCTCCTTTCCTCTTCTCCCCTTTCCCTGTTTTGTCTCACCAAGCCACATTCAGCGCATAAAAGGCCCATGCTTCACTCTCATGCATGTCACCATATACACACCCAACCCCTAATTCAACCCGTGCTGATGATTGCAATGATTCCCTTTCTCCTTCATATTCCCACCCACCCCCCCACTGCTCCACAGCATTCAAAACTCAGCGTATAGAATTCCCATGCCTCATACTCGCCTTCATGATCATGGTAGTGGCGTATCACATGCGGTCCCACTTGTACTTAGTTGCCTTTATAGTGCCATCTTAATTAGCACATTTATTTAACACGTAACATTACTATAAGATGGTGGGAGTGACCTGCTTGCGAGGCGCCTGCGTTGTGAGCACCGTAATTTGCTCGTACTATGCTGACTTCGCACCCGACTGTCCAATCCAACACGCCATATCGAAAGCAACGTGGCGGGGAATAGTGCCAGCGAGGCAAGTCAGGCGGATTCCACCTCGTCTCGTCGGCAATCCACCTCGCTTGCGCGTTCCCCCCACCCCACCTCACTGCCCTACCGCCCGCACGTACACCCCCGCCCCCACCGCGACTCCCTTGGATGTATCTGCCTCACCCCCCACCCTCCTCAGTCGTTCCCTTCCCCCACCTGTCCCAAGCGATCTACCATTTCAGCACGTCCAGTCCAGTCCAAACATGCCATTCATTCAGCATCCACTACCAACATGCTTGTTCCTGACGCTGAGCTCCGTTCATCGAACCGCCAATCTAGCACTGCATCTCGCCATATTGCACGACACCATTCGTCTCACACGCGCGCGACATTGCGCCAGGGTTTCGTTTCAGCAGCCGCCATCATGTGTCAGGGGCCCACCCGCCTCTCGCATTTCAGGTTCAAGCCCGTCTCCAATTGCCCGCCGGGCCGCGCCAGCCATGAGCGCAGCCCTCCAGCTCCGCTCGCTGACGGAGCTCGTCCCGCCGCCGCGACGAGCTTGCGGGGCTCGTTAGCAGCCGCACCGGCTGCGAAGCGAAGGAGGCTGACACGATGCGAGGACTCCGCGAGCCGCATGCTCAACCATCCTCCCGCGACACGAGCGCCCCGGAACAACGGGACCGTGGCTGACGCGCTTACGCAACTGATTCGCTCGAAGAACCCTGCAGGAACTCGAAACGACGGGCAGATTCACTGCGACATTGCGACGAGCGCGGGCACCAGCTCCGCCAACCAGTTGAACCGCGGGACCCGCATGGACGACCTTAAGGGGGAGCGCGCGCGGATCGACCCAGTGGCCGCACGTGGTTCAGCCTCTGCCGCGCAGCAGGTGCTGAACGGCTCAGCCGGTGCTGCGCGCAGGCGCGACTCGAGTCGCGCGGACGGCGGCCTTCCAACGGCCTACCCCCCCGCAGCTGCGGCGCTGGATGCCGTGCCGCTCGCCCGCGAGCCCCTGGGCCCCCCGTGCCACCTTGCCGCCCGCTTCCCTCCTCTCCCCCACGCCCTCGCCTTTGCCTTCCCTTCCGCTGCCGTTCCTCAGCCTGCTAGCCGCGGCTGGGAACGCGCGGGCGTAGCGCAGCCGGGGGTGGTCGGGGCGCTTAACAAAATCCAGCAGCGACGGTGGGGAAGCGAGAGAACGGCGGGAGTGGCGCCAGTCGCGCCAGCGCTGCCATTGGATCCGCCCCCCTGCTCTGCCCTCGACTGCGAATACCCGCGCCACGGCACCTGCTCCGCCGCCTCCACCTCCGCCGCTCCACAGCAGGCCGTCGCGCCCCCCATTCTCCCGCCTCACCCCCCGCCACTTGCAGCGTTCCCCCACTGCTTGGCGCAGGTGGCGCGCTCACATCGCAGTGCGCATCCCAGGTCGGCGGGGATGGGCGCAGCAGGGCGGGGTGGCGCAGATGAGCAGGCGGGAACAATCGCGAGGGTGCTGCAGCAGCTGGCGGAGAGGAGGGCTGCGCAGTTGGGGCAGGCGGAGGAAGACAGCAAGGAGGTGCGGGCAAGGGGAGGGCAAGCGTGTGGGGCGCTGACAGCAGGGCAGGGCGGCGAAGGGGGCGATGAGAGCAACAACGACAGTGACGTGCTGGACGAGCCAATCTGCACGCAACAGTACCCAGCTGCCGCTGCTGCTATGGGCGCGCGTGCACAGTGCAGGGTGCCGAGCGGAGAGGATGCGTCGGAGGCTCTAGTGGACGCGTGGCTGGCGTGCCCTCCAAGGCCCCCTGGTGCCGGCATACCGGCTGCTGCAGCGAGTCCAAGTGGGAGTGCGAGTGAGAGTGCAAGTGAGAGTGAGCGTCTGTGTGTGTGTGCTTGCTGCCCGTCACTACAGGCTGTGGTTGGGAGCGAGGGATGCCTTTGGTGCACGGATGGGGGGCGGGGAGGGGAGGAGTGCGGAGTGTGAGGTGGGCACAGGGCCCTCAAGGGGTGGAGCTGGCAGGACATGGGAGCGGCTGGGGTGGGGGAGGCACGTGGGTGTACGGACCACATGAGCACATGGCGCGTTAGAGGGGCAAACATGAAAAAATGGTTGTTGCGTGCTCCTGCTGTGCAGGGTGCAGCCATTGCGGTGAGCGACATGTGGAGTGGGGGAGGCAAGGCAAGGGCTGATGGACATGCTGATGGGGGTGTGGCTGCTGAGGTGGCTGGGGCAGGCGCATGGGCTGAGACTGTGAGGAGGAGGTGCAGGTGGCAGAGGGAGAGGCAAAGGAAGGAGGCGTGTGGGTAGCCCAGCCAGTGGAAAACACACAGATGTAGTAGGATCGCAGAGGAGCATGCTTCTCAAGAAGCTGCTTTTCGAGATGTATTCATGCCCTGAAATAGTGTCCTTTTCAGTCAGTTTCATAGAGCCTTCAAGCCATGCAGACTAACAAGCTCTCAAGTTACCATTGCTTATTTTACACATGCATTCCTACAACCTTTGCTGCATGACCATGGAAACACTGCTCTTTAATTTAGCATAACGCACCCAATAGATACACTGCAGTCAAGCAGCAATGTTGGTACGGTAAGTAAGGTGTGACGTGAAGCACATGGGGCAGTGGTGAGAGAGCACGGGGGGAGGGTGGTGGTTATCCGAAGCCGGCCATGCGTGCATCCCTGGGCGTGTCAGGCACCTGCACAAACGGATGCTGCAGCAGCTGCACCACAACTCAGCAGGGGGGGAACGCAGGGCGGACGGCCAGTGAGGGGGGCCGATGATGGAGCTGGCTTGATCTTTCAGGGCAGGCCTAAGAAAGAAATATCTCGACCCGGGCTGCATTTGGTGCCCCAGGCCCGGCCCAGGCAACTGTGAGGCAATGCCCTGAGCATTTTTGTGATGCCCAACCAACAGCACGCCCTGCAGCATGCCGTGCACTGCAGCAACAGAGGCACCCACCTGAGCAGCAGAGGCACCCACCTGAGCAGCAGAGGCACCCACCTGAGCAGCAGAGGCACCCACCTGAGCAAAAGAGGCACCCACCTGAGCAGCAGAGGCACCCACCTGAGCAGCAGAGGCACCCACCTGAGCAGCAGAGGCACCCACCTGAGCAGCAGAGGCACCCACCTGAGCAGCAGAGGCACCCACCTGAGCAGCAGAGGCATCCACCAGAGAAAGCAGACGCACCCACCTGGGCAGCAGAGGCACCCACCTGGGCAGCAAAGGCGAGGCCACGGACCTGGGCGGCGGAGGGGCGGAGGCACGAACCTCGGCGGCGGAGGGGCGGAGGGCGGGGTCGAGCTGGAAGCAGGCGGCGAGGAAGTCACGGCCCTCGGGGCTGCTCTCCTCGGGGGTGGGCGGGCCCGTGGTGGTCTTGGCGATGTGGAATATGGCCGACCACGTGTTGTCCATGCCCGGCCAGGGGTGGCTGCACCAGGGGAAGGGGGTTGTGTAGGGGGGAAGAGCATTCACACACGTGCCATGCCGTGCACATGAACAAGCGTTCAGCGATGAGGGTGACACACAGGCATACGGGTTGAGGGGTGACGTGCAATTGGAAAGGCAATCACACACCTCCCACCACCGCCACGCCATCCCACAGAGAAGCACATTTCTGGGAGCATGCAGAGAGGTCAGAATCCCAGGTGAGTGATTCAGCGTGAGGCACGTGTTGAACACACTGGGCTCCACACTGGCATCAAGAAATCAGATTGGCTGCTGCTCGGCAGCGCGCTGTACTCAGCCCGTCGAGCAGCAAACCACCTCCTCACACCCTTGCCACCCGCAATGACGGTGCAGCCCTGACCTGCCGGTGAGCATCTCAATGACGGTGCGGCCCTGACCTGCCGGTGAGCATCTCAATGACGGTGCGGCCCTGACCTGCCGGTGAGCATCTCAATGACGGTGCAGCCGAGGCTCCAGATGTCTGCCTTGCGGCCGTACCCCGCACCCGTGATCACCTCGGGCGCCATCCAGAACACCGACCCGCGGATCGACTTGCACCCCTCGCCCACCGTCCCCTCCTGAAACGCCTGCAAGAAGGGAAGAGGAGGGAAAGGGGGATAGGAAGGAGAGAAGAAGTGAGTGAAAACGTCAGTGGATAGTGGATAATGGATGAGACGATGGGACAGGGGACGCATTGGGACACATAGTGGCTGCAATAGAGAACATGCATGCAGAGCACAAAGTGCGTGGTGGGGAGGGGAGAGGCACACACCTTGGAAGCCCCAAAGTCGGCGAGCTTGATGATGCCGTCGCGGTCCACAAGCACGTTGCCGCCCTTGATGTCGCGGTGGATGATCTTGCAGCGGTGCAGATACTCCAGCCCCAGCAGCAGCTGCCTGGTGTACACGCGCACCAGCGACTCGCTGAACTTGCCAAACTTCTCCAACATGCTGGCAACCCGCCAGGATACACGGGAACAGGGCGGGCATGGAGGGTGGGGGATGGGGGAAGAGAGAACGGGATGGATAGGGGAAAAATCACACTTATATATACACGAGCACTAGAGATGTACATCCTTCTTAGAATCCGCCTGTGGATGGAGCCGCCCTCTTAAAACCCACCTGTGGATGGAGCTGGCCTCTTAAAGCCCACCTGTGGATGGAGCCGCCCTCTTAAAGCCCACCTGTGGATGGAGCCAGCCTCTTAAAGCCCACCTGTGGATGGAGCTGGCCTCTTAAAGCCCACCTGTGGATGGAGCTGGCCTCTTAAAGCCCACCTGTGGATGGAGCTGGCCTCTTAAAGCCCACCTGTGGATGGAGCTGGCCTCTTAAAGCCCACCTGTGGATGGAGCCGCCCGAGACGAATTCGAGGAAGATGTAGATGGAGCCGTCGGAGGGGTCCTTCTCCATGTCGATGTACCCCACTATGTGCCGGTGCCGCATGCGGCGGTACAGCACGATCTCGCGCTCCAGCGCTGCGATGTGCATGGCGCGCTCGTCGCCCGCGTTGATCTTCATCTGCTTCACCGCCATCAGCTCGCCCGTGCGCTCGTTCAGCCCCAGAAACACCTGCCCCACGCGGACGGTGGGGGGGGAGGGACGAGGGGGCGGGAAGGAGTGAGGCAGGAGCATGAGAGAAAGCAAGGGGAACGGGAGGAGGTGGCAAGGCGAAGAATAACGCGGCTGTGTGGAGGGGCAGGTGAGAGGCGGCGTGATGGCATGAGTGGCCCACCTTGCCGTACGCGCCTTCGCCCAGCAGTTCGCCGCGCTTCCACTTCATGGTGCCCAGCGGGGACACCTCGGGGTCGTCCTGCAGCAGCTCCTCCGGCACCGCCTCGTCGTCGTCCTCCTCCTCCACACCCCGCCCCCCTGCCTCCTTCTGCCCCGCCTTCTCCTGCTTCTCCTGCTCCTTCCCCCCGCCTTTCTCCTTGCCCTCCTTGCTGCCTCCCGCCTTCACATCGTCCCCCGTGCCTGTCTTCACCGCAGCACCTCTGTTCTCGGGCCTGGTCTTGCACTCGCACTGCACCTGCCCGCACGCCACACACCCGTTCCTCGCAGCGTCGGCGCGCCAGTCGGCGCGGATGAGCTTCAGGTCCTCCTCCGACACCGACGCCGCCCCGCCCCCACCGCCTTTCCTGCCCGCACCACCTGACGACGGCGGCACAAACGACTGGCACTTGCGGTCGCTGCGCTCCTTCCTCTCAGCCCTTTCACTCCTCTCGCTTCCCTCCTTGCCTTTCCCCCTGCCCTCACTCGCACCTCCCTCGTCCAAGCCACTGTTCCCCCGCCCGCTATCGGGCCTGGCCCTGTCTCTGTCTCGCTCGCGCTCGCCCCCCTCGGGCACGGCGAACTTCACCGACCTGCGCTCACGCCCTCCCCGCGGAGTCACGCGTCCCCCCCCCCCACCGGCGCCACCTCCCCCAGTCCCTGTACCTGGTGCCGGTGGGGGAGCCGCCCCACCGGTGGGCGTGCGCGGGCTGGTGTTGTCGTCACATGGCGCTGCCTGTGCGCCTGGGAGCGGACTCCTCGGCCTCGCACTGCCTGCGGCCCCCCGCCTGCCCGCGTCCTCCTCGCCACCCGCACTGCTGCCGGGACTGCCGGCGCGCGGGCCGGCGCCATCAGCCACGCGCAGAGAGGAGAAGCGGCGGGAGAAGTCGGAGGGGGGTGGGGAGCGCGAGGGCGTGGAGGGGCCGCCCGCTGCTGCAGCCTTGATGGCGCGCGACCGCCGGCTCACCACCTCGCTGTCACTGTCCGCACTGCCACTGTCCCTCAGCTGCCTCAAATGCGCTGCACCTTTCCCCCCTCCGCCCCTCCCCCCGCTCCCCAGCCCCTCCCCCTGCCTTTCCTCTGAGCTGACTGACCGGTGCGGCTGCCTGTCGCCCCCACTGCCCGCACCTCCCCCGCTCCTGTCCGCCAGGGAGCCTCTGTCAGGCAGCGCGCCACCGTTCCACGAGGCATAGGGGTTGTCGCGCACGGCACGCGGGGTGGACGCCCCCCGCCTCTCCACCCCACTGCCCCCCGGGCCCACGCGCCCTCCCATCCCCTTCTCTCGCTGCCCTCCGCCTCCCCCGCCCCCTCCCCCTCCCCCTGCCGCCCTCTCCTCCACGTCATCATCCGACCCCCCTCGCTCAGCGCCCACCCTCCTGGGCGTGGATGGCGCCCCGGCTCCTCCCCCTCCCCCTGCCCTTCCGCCCCCCTCCCCTCCCCTCGGCGTCCCTGCCCCACCCCTGGGGGTGCTGGGCCCGCCTCCCCCTGCCCCCCCTGCGCCCCCCACGAGTCGCTCCGCGCGGAAGTCAGCAAAGTTGCGGGGGCGGGCGAGGCGGGAGACCTCGCCGCGAGCGCCGCCGCTGAGGGAGGCGGCAGCGGGGGCGTGGCGGCGGGGGCCAGTAGCGCCCTCGGCGTCCGACATGCTGCTGGCGTCCGCAGCTGCCACGATGCGGCGCTGGTAGTGCGCCCCCCCCGACTCCACCGACAGCGTGCGCGCCGCGTCCCGCACATGCATCTGCACCTGCCGCCGCGCCACTGCTGCTGCTGGCGCTGCCTCCTCCCCCTCCGCGCCCCCGCCCCTCCCACCAGTGGTGCTGCTACTGCTGCTGGGCGGGGTGGTGGCGGGGGCATCTCTAGAGGAGGTGGAGGCGGAGGTGGAGGCGGGGGGCGAGGGCGCGGGCCAGGGGAGGGCAGGCGAGTCGTCGTGGCGGTCGTTCTCCCACGCCTGCTGGAAGATCTGCTCGTTGCTCTCCATCTCCTGTGGGCTCTCGTACCCCTCCTCCCCTCGCCCCCCCCGCCGAGCCTCCTTCTCACTGCCCCCCCCGCTGCCCCACTCATCCCCGCGCCCCCCCCACCGCTCGCCTGCCAGGCGCCCGCGCATGCTGCCAGCGCCGCCCCCAGTGGCGGCCTCGACGGCGGCGGAGGCGGCGGCCCTCATGCGCGCCATGCCCGCCCGGGGGGACGCCACGCGGTGCGATGCCACGCCGTTCAAGCCTGAGGGTGGGGGGAGGAAGAGGGTTGCACGGGCACGCACGTGGCAGGGGTATCGCAGCACATGAGAGAGGAAGGGGCATGGCACGCTGTGAGAAAGAGAGAGGCGCAGCAGCAGCAGCAGCAGCGAGTGCGGATGTGCATGCAGCAGGCAGTGGTGGCGGAGGGCAGTGGAGCGAGGGCAGGGAAGGGAAGGCGAACCTTGGTCGTCCCACGAGTCATCACCCAGCAGCCCCCCCTCATGCGGGCTACGCCTCTCCATGCCGCCCGGGCTGGCGGGAGGAGAAGCGCCCATGGCAGCAGCAGGCGCGGCTGAGGAGGCGAGGTGAGCATGGGGCGGGAGGAGGCCGTGGCGGTGGTGGTAGTCGTGCAGCTTGGAGAAGAGCGCTCGGATGCGGTCTGTGGTCGCCAGCTGCTGCGGTAGCAGCCCGTCGCTGTTGCGCGCATACATGTTGGCCCCCGCCACCAGCAGCAGCTTTATCATGCCCCTGCCCCGTGTGGTGCAGCGGTAGGTGGGAGAGTAAGGGGTTAGCAGGCAACCAGATCAAGGCAGGCAGTGGCACATCCAACACACGTGGCACATCTATCCAAACACACGTGGCACATCCATCCAAACACACGTGGCACATCCATCCAAACACACATGGCACATCCAGCACATGGGGCAAATAAGAAACACATGGCTCATATCACAACCCTGAACATCAGAGATGGAGAGGGAAAGGGGAGGTGAGGCAGGATAGGCGTAATGGGATGGGACGGGTTGAAGTGGGGGGGAGGTGAAGGAGGGGTACCGGTGGGCGTCAGCGCAGGCGTAGTGCAGCGCCGTGCAGAGCTGCGCGTCATGGGAGTTGATGTCAGCGCCGTGTGACAGCAGCAGCGTCACCGCCTTCTCACTGCCCGCCTGCACCGCCAGCAGTATGGGCGGCATCTGCCCGCGCCCAGGGGGGAGGAGGGGGGGAGTAACGCAAACGGGGTAGGCAAGAAGAGACATGATACAAGAGGAGGGAAGAAGTTGGTATAAGATTGCATGAAGGCTATCTGAGGTCTCGGGAGTAAAAACTGGTTGCATTTGCCACAACCGACTGCTGCACCCACCTGAGACGCGTGCTGCACCCACCTGGGACGCGTGCTGCACCCACCTGGGACGCGTGCTGCACCCACCTGGGACGCGTGCCCCCCATCGGGGTCGGCCCCCCACTCGAGCAGCGCAGCAGCGGCGTCCACGCTGCCCGCCACCACCGCCTCGTGCAGCGCCGCCCGCCCCGTGCCTGTTAGCGAGCATGCCATGGGGAAGGGGGAAGGCGCATGCCGTGGGAAAGGGGGCAGGCGCATGCCATGGGGAAGGGGGAAGGAAGGCGCATACCATGGGGAACAGGCCTGTCGCATGCCAATGGGGAAAGGGCCAGGCGCGTGGGACGCGAATGAGGAGATGCGGCGAGGCAGACGAGACGTGGAGGAGGGGGGAACGAAGAGTGGATAACATGTGCGAAAGGAGCCAAAGTTGAAGGGTGTAAGTGCGGAGGGAAGAGGGTATGACGAGGAGGGGGGGTGAGAGACGCGGCGTACCAGGGTGCGCGCAGTGGAGCAGCGCGGTGCGCGAGGGCGCGTCCTGCAGGATGCGGTTGACGCGCGCCACGTCGTCGTCCCGCACCGCCTCCAGCAGCGCCAGCACGCCGCGCAGAACCTCCGCCTCGCCGCGCGACGACGCCTGATAGCTGCCCGTCGGCGGCCCCCCCATGCCCATGCCCGAGAGCATGGCGGGGCGGGCGGGCTTGGGTACGCGTCGCGGGCTCATTACCTCCTGCGGTGAGTGCGCGGCGCCGTCAGTGCCGCCCGCATAGTTGGGCAGCGACGAGAACTGCACCACGGGGCAAGCAGGAGGGGAGGACGAAGGGTTGGGAGAGGGGTAAGACGCAAAGGGCGCGAGGCATCGGCGGGCGGGTGCTTGACATCACGCGTCCATGCAGCGCGTGGCGCCTGACGATGCCGTCGATTGGTCAGGGCGCGCGCGGCAGAGCAATCCATCGGGCGCCACGAGCCGACAAGCCACCGAAAATGAGAAAGGGAAATTTGGAAGGAAATTTGACTGGTGAGGGGCGACGGGACGATCGAGAAGCGCGAGAGAATTGGCTTGTCGCAACACCTACCCAATGATTCACCGCCGTGGGCTACATGACGGCTCCCCACCCACTGCCCTACTTCGCACCTTGCGCACTTGCTTCGCCTCGCCACCTCGTCGCGGGTCGCTTCGCTCGTGGCGCCCTCTGTCCGCCTCGCCATCCCCAATGGCATCCGACCGCACGTGCCCCGCGCTCATCCCCGCACCCAGCGCCGCGCCCATGCTGGAGCGCAGCGGCGATGTGCTCAAGCCGGCTGCCTGGTACCCCGCGGCGGACGGCGACGGCACGGAGGCGCGTCGCACGACCCCTCGCTGCGATAAATAATCGGAAGCGAAGTCGTTGGCGTCAAGGTAGTCGTGGGGGTACTCTTGCGCGTACTCCTCGGGATACTCCTGCGCGTACTCCTCAGGGCACTGGTCCGGGTACTCGTCCGCGTCCAGCACCTGCGTCGCCATCTGCTGCCCCTCATTCACGCGAATCAACGGCCGGCTCCCCGCCCGCCGCCTCTGCTGTCCCGCTCCGTACTCCCCTTCTCCCCCTGCCCCTCCCCCTACCCCATTGGACCCGGCATTTCGAGGCGAAAGCATATGGTCGTCGAAGGCAGGGCTACGCCCCCCACGTGGAGTGGTGGCCGCCGGGCCTGGGTGCCCAGGTCCGCGATGACGATTCACCACGCGAGGCGGACTGCCCTCACCGTCGCTCACGGCGCGCGTCATGGTAATTTACAGAAGGAAAACGCCGCATCGCAATGTGAGCCCGTAAGTTAATCGACTTTGCAGACATCGCTACACCTAACGGGTCTGACCTGTGGTGACCTGTGGTGCGACCAAGTCTATCAGCCATGAAACGATTGGTGAGCTAAAAGTTCGATGGGTGTATCAAACCCTAGCTGGCGAGAAAGTGCATCCAAGCAATCTCGAGGGCAGACGACGAATTTGCCATCTTGAAGTTGGCTCGGTAACCTGCAATATGCTATCTGAAAGAAAAAAACCATTCCTTAGGGAGTGTGTACTTATGACGCAAATAGTTAAGTCTACATATTTTAGTCGAATTCAAAAAGTGAACCAAGGTCGACCATGCAATGGACCATCTCGATTTTTTATGGTCGATCTGCATCATTACCCTTTGGAGCAAGCACATCGCTTCAACGAGGGTCGACGATCGGACCCAGACCTTCAGATATCAGCCTTTTTGCGTCGATTTCACTGATTTTCAGCATCTTTTTATGTACCAACCCAGAAATTTCAACATTTTTTATTTTTTACCCCTGAAATTTCAGCCAGAAGGGGATCGAATCAGAGAGAAGAGGATCGAATGAGGGAGAATGGGATGGAATTAAGGAGAAAGGGATGGAATCAAGAAGAAGGGTATGGAATTAAAGAGAAGGGGATGGAATTAAAGAGAAGGGGATGGAATGAGGGAGAAGGGGATGGAATCAAGGAGAAGGGGATGGCATCAGGGAAAAAGGGGATGGAATGAGGGAGAAGGGGATAGAATGAGGGAGAAGCAGATGGAATGAGGGAGAACGGGATGGAATAAGGGAGAAGGGGATGGAATGAGGGAGAAGGGGATGAAATCAAGGAGAAGGGGATGGAATCAAGGAGAAGGGGATGGAATAAGGGAGAAGGGGATGGAATCAGGGAGAAGGGGATGGAATCAGGGAGAAGGGGATGGAATGAGGGAGAAGGGGATGGAATCAGGAAGAAGGGGATGGAATCAGGGAGAAGGGGATGGAATGAGAGAGAAAAGGATCGAATCAGGGAGGAGGGGATGGAATCAGGGAGAAAGGGATGGAATCAGGGAGAATGGGCTGGAATGAGGGAGAAGGGGATGGAATAAGGGAGAAGGGGATGGAATCAGGGAGAAGGGGATGGAATGAGGGAGAAGGGGATCGAATGAGGGAGAAGGGGAGGGAATCAGAGAGAAGGGGATAGCATCAGGGAGAAGGGGATGGAATCAGGGAGAAGGGGATGGAATCAGGGAGAAGGGGATGGAATGAAGGAGAAGGGGACGGAATCAGGGAGAAGGGGATGGAATGAGGGAAAAGGGGAGGGAATCAGGGAGAAGGGGATGGAATCAGGAAGAAGAGGATCATCCTCGATCATGGTCGCCACCCTCCCACGCTCTTGCTGGCTTGGTAATAGGTCCAAAAGCACACAACCACATGACCGAACGAAAGAAAAATGCTCGGAATGAGCGTTTTCAACCCAAAACGCTGAAGAATCCGTGCATGTGCAGAAAATGCAGCTGTCATTTTTCATTCGTGAATACCAATGACCGATCATGCTCGCCACCCTCCCACGCTCTTGCTGGCTTGCTAATAGGTCCAAAAGCACACATCCACGCTCTTGTTGGCTTGCTAATAGGTCCAAAAGCACACATCCACATGGGCCACCCGAATATGCAACAACATTCAGGTCGTTCGATGCTTTTCCCTACGCCTATAGGGATCCATGCGCTTCGTTACCATTTGCCGGCAGACATAGCCGTCATCGCAGGCGCCGAACATTACTGTGTGCACGAACCAAGCTAAAAATGCTCAGATAGGTGGATTTGAACATGAACCACAAGAAGATGCAAAAACATTCTGGTCCGTTCGATGCTTGTTTCTATGCCTACAGGAATCCATGGGCTTCGTTACCATTTGTCAGCAGACACAGCAGTCAACGCAGGCCCCGAATTTTTCCTGTGCGCACGAACCAAGCTGGAATTGATTCGGTGGGTGTATTTGAGCATGGACCATCCGAATATGCAACAACATTCAGGTCCTTTGATGCTTTTCCTATGCCTACAGGAATCCATGCGCTTCATTACCTATTTTCGGTAGACACAGCCGTCATCGCAGGCGCCGAACTTTTCTGTGCGCACGAACCAAGCTGAAATTGGTGTGATGGGTGTATTTGAGCATGGGCCACCCGAATATGCAACAACATTCAGGTTGTTCGATGCTTTTCCCTACGCCTATAGGGATCCATGCGCTTCGTTACCATTTGTCGGCAGACACAGCCGTCATCGCAGGCACCGAACTTTTCTATGCGCACAAACTGAGCTGAAATTGCTATGGAGGGTGTATTTGAGCATGGGCCACTTGAATATGCAACAACATTCAGGTCGTTCGATGCTTTTCCCTACGCCTATAGGGATCCATGCGCTTCGTTGTGAAAACTTAGAACGAGAATGAATGCATTGAGCAGCATGAGGAGTACAAGTACCAAACCCTAGAATGTTGTACCCCATATGAGCTACCCCACTACAGCCTACACAGACTATAGTGTATAAGTTTGACACACCCCCATAGGCAAAGTGGGGGAGAACAAAGGGTCACAAGACCAGTCAAGCAAAGCAAGGCAAAGCAAGCTCAGGGTGGATCACAACGTCACCACACAGTCTGAGCACAAGTTCAAGGCCACAAGGCCAGTTCACATGCAAGGTCACAGATATATAACGCTAAACAGACAATGGCAGGTATATATATGTAACAGTACAAGCAAGGTCAAGAAGTAAGCAAGTGAGGCAAGGTAGGCACAAGACCTAACAGAGTGCAGAAGCGCTGATGATCACAAGGCGCGAGTGCCTTAGTGAAGATATCAGCAGTGTTGGCCTCAGAGGCCACGTAAGCAAGGCGCAGCTGACCACGTTGCTGCAGCTCACGAGCAAGGAAGTAGCGGAGAGCGATGTGCTTCGTTCTGTGCTCCAGTCTGTGCTCCCGACACAAGGCCAGCATGGCCTTGTTGTCTACGTACAGCACTGGAGGAGAACGAGGCGGCTCTCCCAGGTCAGTCAGCAGGTAGGTGAGCCAGCGTAGCTCCTGTGCAGCCATGGCCCCTGCGTAGATCTCAGCCTCACAACTGGAGCCGAGAACAGAAGACGAGCGGGTAGACCGCCAAGAAACAGAGCCGGAACCAAGGCTGAAGGTGTAACCCTGTGACGACCGCTGCGTAGCCTGGTCGTCAGCCCAAGAAGCGTCTGCGTGACCAGTGAGGACCACTGAACTATGCCCTCCAAGCACAAGCCCCATGCCCGACGTACTGCACAAGTAGCGCAACACCCTCTTCGCTGCAGCCATGTGCTCTGGTCTGTGTCTCCCAGGAGCAACAAAGCGTGCCAGAATGCTAAGAGGGTATGCAAGGTCAGGTCAAGTGCAGGTCATCAGGTACATGAGGCAGCCGACAAGCTCTGGGTACGGGCCACTCGACTCTACGGACTCATCCGAAGGCAGAGCTGAGAGCGAGTGGCGAGTAGGCAGAGGAGTGGCCTGAGGCGAGGAGTACGTGAAGCCGAAGCGTTGAAGGACCTGCTGCACCATGTGTGACTGAGTCAGGGTAATGGTGCGCTGTGCTCTGTCCCGGGTGATCTGCAAGCCAAGGTAGCTGCGCAGTTCACCCAGGTCTGTGCACGTGTGTCTCTTCTGCAGCTCGGACTTCACGTAGGCAAGTCCAGCAGTGTCAGCTGTAGCAAAGACCAAGTCGTCGACGTACACGAGGATGTAGAACGGCGGCAAAGAAGTGTCGGTGCGCAGAAACAGCGACGGGAGGACTTGCGGCGGCGGAGTGTGGAGCGCTCGGAGGAGGGGGCTGGCTATGGAGTTGGAGGTGGAAAGAGTGGCTTCAAGAAGAAGTGGAAAAGCAAGAAAAATAATAACCCTAAGGAGGATGGCGGCGGGGGTCAAGGGGAGGTGTGCTTCTACTGCAAGAAGCGCGGACATCGTTGGCGGAAGTGCTACCAACGGCCCAAGGATTGGACCCCGCCTCCAGTTCACGCTGGTGATGACGGCGGAGTGTGCCGACAAATGGTAACGAAGCGCATGGATCCCTATAACCGTAGGGAAAGGCATCGAACGACCTGAATGTTTTTGCACATTTTAGTGTTCCATGTTCAAATACACCTACTAGAGCAATTTCAGCTTGGTTCGTGCACACATAGAAGTTTGGCGCCTGCGATGACGGCTGTGTCTGCTGACAAATGACAACGAAGCGCATGGATAGCGAGTGCAGAACTGCGAGAACAAGCGTCTAGCGAGTGCAGAATTGCAAGAACAAGCGTCTAGCGAGTGCAGAATTGCAAGAACAAGCGTCTAGCGAGTGCAGAATTGCAAGAACAAGCGTCTAGCGAGTGCAGAATTGCGAGAACAAGCGTCTAGCGAGTGCAGAATTGCAAGAACAAGTGTCTAGCGAGTGCAAAATTGCGAGAACAAGCGTCTAGCGAGTGCAGAATTGCAAGAAAAAGCGTCTAGCGAGTGTAGAAATGCGGGAACAAGCGTCTAGCGAGAGCAAAATTGCAAGAACAAGCGTCTAGCGAGTGCAGAATTGCAAGAACAAGAGACTAGCGAGTGCAGAATTGCGAGAACAAGCGTCTAGCGAGTGCAGAATTGCGAGAACAAGCGTCTAGCGAGTGCAGAATTGCGAGAACAAGTGTCTAGCGAGTGCAGAATTGCGAGAACAAGTGTCTAGCGAGT